GGTGGTTTCGGGAGGGTGGGCTGCAGTGAAAACGTAAGAGTCAAGACCAGTAGCACCTTACAGAGCAGCAAGATTTCCAGGGCATAAACCTTTGCGAAGCAGAGCTCCCTCTGTCAGGTGGTGGCATTTAAAGCATAGTGTGAGGCTCCTTGCCTTGACCTCAGTGGCCCAAGCTCGCCTGATCGCATCAGATCTCAGAAGCTAAGCAGGGTCAGGCCTGGTTAGCATTTGGATGGGAGACCATCAAGTTCTGCTATGCAGAAGCAGGCAATGGTCAACCACTTCTATTAGTCCCTTGCCTTGAAAACCTTACAGGGTCACCATAAGTCGCCTGCGACTTGGCAGCACTTTACACGCGCACAGGGCTCCTCATCCCCCAAACCAGCTTATGCACAGCCTTCCCCCCCCCCCACACACAGTGGGATTTATTTCCAGTCTCACAAACCCACCAGAGAAGCTACAGGAGAGGAGCAGCTGGGAGGAAGGAAAGTTAAAGGTAGCGAAAGAGTTCAGGTCCTTTCCATTGCCTGCCTATCCTGAAGCTACTTCTCCGCTGCAAATATTTGATCCTTGACCCAAATGTCTGCTGCATGTGTCTAACTCGCCCCTATATGCAAATAATTTGATAAGACGGAAAAAAACAACATCTCCAGTACAGGAAAGAATCTTTTCACATATCACAGCCCAAAAAAGTCAACCTTAAAACTCACGACATCAATAAACGCGGGGCAACATGTCTCATCACACTGGGTTCCAGTATGCTGGAAGTATGCCAACGGTCTATGAAATCATTGCGCACTTAGAAACCGTAGACCAGGAACAGAAGTCATCAGTTGGATTTGCCATGTTTTGAGGATGTAGTTCTGGTTTATGCAGAACCACTTTCCTGACTGTTTGGAGAGAACATTCTCTCCAGGCAACAAGGCATGGAAGCTTTTGTGGATAACAGTGTCCCCCCCCCCCACACACACACTTCAGGCTACCAGCATCATACAAATTATTAATAACATAGGCAGGCGAGTAAAAACATTTGTGGGCTAGTAATTCGGGCTGTAACTTTTTGGTCTACTCAGTCAATTAGAAGTCTTCTTAATCCATTAAAAAGGACCCCCAATTAATTAGGCAGAATATCTTTTTTTTCAACTGTCAGTTATTTAAGTCTTCACACACCCATGAGCAGCAGGTTCCTTCTCCAAAGGATTTTCGTCTCTCATAGGAATGAGGGAGTGCTTCTTCTGAAACGGTGCCTGCTGCTGTGACCCATATCCATCGCCTGGAAGCCTTCTTCAATGTGCAAGTCAATTATCGGTATGAATCCGATTCAGAATCCTAAAATCTATGATGATTCCTTTAACGGAAATTCATCCCAATACCTTTTGTAGCATTTTTAAATGGCCAGGCCTGTAAACTGCTATTCCCCATTCCTTGTGATCATCCTCCAACAACATTCAGAACTAAATTTGAATGACACACCACCGAATCAGAGAGTTTACATAGCTTTCAGTCAGTTAAACCAAGCCTGGTCCTCCCTTTGGCAAACAAGACTCCCACACAAAGTATACTATAGCCAAGACAGCTGAGTTACTGCTGTTGCTCTTAGTGTTCTTTCCCCCCAAACAACAACAACAACAACGTATTTTCAAGCAGTTATTTGCTTTAAGGCAAGAGATTAGTGGGACAAGAGAGCTCCACCTAGCTGCACACTTTCCTTTCTGTCTCCTGTCTCCATACAGTCTTAAGCCATCAGACCCTCGGCCTGCATTTATACCACTCAAAAGGGTTATATCAGCAAAACAGTCCAACAGCTGCATAAAATAAAACTACAGAAAGCAGATAGGTAGGTAGGAAAAGAAGCCGTAAGCCCTGTTTATTCATCCCACTAGGGTATAAGAGTATTGCTTGAGCGTTGGTGTGCAGCCCAGAAGAAAAAAAAAATGATTTATTACATTAAATAAAAAAGGAAACACAATCCTGCTTAACTTTCTTCGGCATCTGGCAGAAACAGGGGAAGGAGATTTAAAGTCACTCTTTTCACCTAGCCGACGAATCAATTTTAGCTGTCCAAGTTAGCAAGTCCTTCTTTATTGGCCCTCTTTCTCTCTTTTCTTTTTTGGGCATTTGTTTCCAAAATCTGAAGCAAATTAGTATAAATAGGCATCTTTCAAACCACCAGTGAAGTCAGAGACCATGGTGCCCGGTGCACACTGGCAAGCAAGGCGCCCAAAAGACACCGCCAGGAAGTACAGTAAATTCAGCCCACAGTTTACCCTGCCAGTCCCGTGTTAAGATACAGATTCAGACTCCTGCCTTCTCCCTGTTTTAAAGCATTCTGTCTCACTACCTTCTCAGTCTCTCCCATGCCACTGATGAAGCAAGTTTCCCCCCCCCCCGAAAAGCTCTTGCTACCAAAAACAAAACAAAAACAACACACACCAGCTAGCTTTGCTACCACTCTTAATACTTTTCTTAAAGGTAAAGCATAAACCATTTTACTGCTCTCAGCAGGCAGCATCTCTCCGTGCCGATTCCACAAACAGTAACTTGCAATCACAGGTTTCAAAGCCCAGATCCTCACACTGTAAAAGATTTCTAAAGTGCTCTCTTATGACATTACAAGTCTAATTGACTGCAATGGACTGCTGTGGAACACCCAACTAGTTAAAAGGAGCCATTCGAGTCACTGGTCTTCTGTGTAGACCATGGGTAACAACAAGCTTTTCACTTCGAAGGGAAACACTGGGAAAGCTGCAATAAGTTCTGCCAGACATGAGATTCTCTAAATCATGATCTTTGTCGACTGTTTAGGGTAGCCCTTCCTCACTGCAACCCGACTCAATGCACGCACGACTGAAATCTTTTTTTAAAAAGCCAACCAGGAGTGCTAGTGCCTGTGAAGTAGTATACCAGGTTGTAAATAACCATATGCATTAGTGCAGAGTGATGTGCCAGACTCAAAGCACCCCCCGCAAGTGTCTCACGTAAAGCCACCCATGCAAACCTTTCTTTCTCTCTCTCTCTTTCTTTCTCTCTTTCTCACTCAGCATTCTGAGCCACACAGATTAGAAATCTTGTTAATGTACTACTGGCTGAAAGCAGTTCAGACACATCTGCTGGTACAGTTATGTTAGACTACAGTTTCCTCATGCGCCCCAAATCCCTCCTGCTCAGCAGAGTGCTAAAACCTTTCCAAGTTTCTCAAAACAATTACTCTAGGGGAAAGCAGTTGGAAGAGAAGAAAAGAGGGGAAAATAATAAAAAAAAATCCATACAAAGTAGAAGGCCCAGTGCCAACTGTTAACTCTCTCTCTGTGTTTTTGGCTCCACATCCCTGTTTTTCCCCTTCCTTCTCTAAGTTTTCATTCCTCCGGGACCTAACATGCTGCAGTGTTTTTTTGGGTTTTTTTTTTTAAGAAGTGAATTTAATAACCGCCAGAGCTGAGGAACTGTGTGTTCTTCACACAAAATGCACAAGTCTTCAGAAGTTTCCCCTTAGCATCTTGAGGAAAGCAGGCCAAACAACTCGATCATAAAAAAAGTCAGTCCCATCCAGTACATGACCTTGCATGTCCTTACCCACAGAGATGCAGTCCAGCTAGCAAGCTGGACTTAAGCCTGGTTCAGCCGGACGAATACCCTGCAGGCTGTTCCGTAAATCGGCAGCTAATATTCAGACTATTTGATACTGACCATTGAAATATAAGACTACCCCGGGGCATTTCCCCCCCCCGAACAAAAAACAACAACAACCCTGACACACTGCAGTAAAACACACTTTAGAAGGAAAAGGCATTCAACAATCTGCAATTTCTGGCCAACCACCACCTCTCCATTCATAAAACTCAAGGAACCGCGCGGAGTGAGAATCGTACTCTTTATGCCATGCATCACGCCTCTGGGCATACAAACTCCTTCGCCCTGAAATTGCTCCCCTTCCAAGCCTCTGGGTATCATCAACAGATGCAGCAGCACATCTGCCACAAGTTCCTACAACTCTTAGAAGCATTCTGACTGTTCTAACCTGCAGAGGCTGCCGGAGCCCCATCCTTACATGAAGTCCAAAAAAGAAAGAACAAAGTTTGAGTCCATTGGCACCTTTTAGGTATACCCTCCCGTGGTTTTAAAGGTGCCACTGGACACACACTTTTGTTCTGCCGCTTTAGACCAACACGGCTACCCACCTGAATAATAATAATAATAATAAAACCACGATAAATTCTGACCCATCCCTTGGGGTCCCTCTAGCGTCAAAATACGAGCATTGCAGAAAGGGGGGGGGGTTAGTTTCCCTGTTCCGAAAACCTGATGTCTGCACGCACTGGAGGAAAAGAGTAAAGAGATCGAGGAAGGGACGAGATATTGGGGG